AAATACAACACAACATAGATTGAAATACACACATGAGCTCAAAGGAGGAACACACATACACACAGATACTAATCCCTAACGCAGAAATAAGATTTAAAAGTGTTTTTTTAAAGTAATTTCTCGAAACAAAAATATATAAACACATAATTACACTCTCGTGTTTTTAACTGGGGACGCGAGCAGCTTTTATTCTGTAGGGCCCGGACCCGGAAGTGTGGCTGCCCCTGCTGTTAGCATCAGTAGCGGGTGAATCCTCGGAGCTGTCACAGCAGCTGTCCGTGTGTTCGAGTCCCTGAGCCCGCTGTCACGTCCCGCGGCTCCCCGACCTCCGACCTGGTGGTGGTGGGGAGGGCGTCCCTCGGTGAATACGCGGCTGTTTGTGTCGGGACACGTTTGCGTGAAGGAGTCCCGGAGCTGAGCTGGAGGTTTGACAGCTTCTGAACTCGGCGACGTTTTGTTTTTTTTTTTGGTTCCGCTGCGACGCTGGACGAGGTGAGTTTCAAGTCTCCGAGATGATTCCAGGGGTTTAAAGTGGACACTGAGCTGGGGTTCATCTTCTTCAAACTGGGGTTCATCTCCTTCGAACTGGGGTTCATCTCCTTCGAACATCTTGAAGCCGGAGTCTCGGTCCAGTTGTTGTTTCTTCACGGTCACTTCAGGAGGAGGATGCTGCTGCTGCTGCGTTCAGGGACCAGTCAGCATCATTCAAAAAACATATTTGTGTTTATTTCAACTTTACATCGAAGTAGTTTCTTTTTTTTATTCAGTCATCAAGTTTTCAAAAGTTTAAAAGCAAACAAGTGTGTCACGTTTGTAAACTTCAACAAAGGCTTCACTGAGGTTTTTTTGAAAACAAACATGGAGGAACACTAAAGTTTAAAACTTGCATCGTTCCAGAATCTAACCACAACAATTAAAACACGTCTGCTCCTAAATCATATTTACTCTCCTGAAATGAAAAGTAACTTTGGGCATAACTTAGGATTTAGATTTGAGATAAGTTAAGAAAATCCTTGATTAGGGAGAAATTAGTTTTAAATTAGTTTTGAAGTGATAAGTGACACAACTTAAGGATAATAATACTTAGGTGTAAGGGATATAGAGAGATATGAATGGAAAAGAAAGTAATATATACAGTGTAAAATTAATAAAAATATGTACAGTGAAGAGACGAGGAATAGATGTTTAACCGATATTTAAAATTCTAGGTTAGTTAAGTTAACATACTATTTTTTTATGTAATAAGACTATGTATAGTTAAAAAACACAAGTATTACCAAATATATAGAATTTGAAAAATCTACTTTTTCTTCATGTTAAATGCAAACAAAGTTTTATATGTGGCTGAGGAGCTGATGCAATAAGATGCAGAGACTGAGCAAAATGATGTGTATCAGCTATAAGTTAAATAAAAGTTATTCTAGAGTTACTTAGATATAAATTGATGATAAGTTACTAGTTATCATAGCTGATGTTAAGCATAAGAAGATATGTAAGCAGACGTAACTGAAATTAATTCATTTTATTAGCTGATCCATAACACTAACACAAGAGAATTGCAGTAATGTGGTTTAATAAATAAAATAAGCAGAAGAAATAAACCGAGATGCAGATTTAAAACAGCTGCAACAAATTAGGGGACGGTTGTAAAATAAAAATGAGAATTGAGGAAGTTTCCTGAAGTCAGGCTCGCAGCTGCACACGACTGTAAACTTATGGCAGTAAAGACACAGAGAGGACTGGAAAGATGAGAATCAAACATCTGGTCCACGCTGATACAAACAGATCTTATTAAGTAGCTGCTCAGTTTTAAAAACTGTTGCCAAACTAGTTTTCTTCTCTTCTCAAAGGCGATGGGGTAATTTGCGTGAAGCCAGATGACTCATCTGCTCCGTATGTCTGCGTCATGTTACACTGGCACCGTCCTAAAGTTAGCCACAGAATCAAACCGTTTGCCAGTCCCCTGTGGGTTTGATGAAGACTAATTCTCTGCATTCCTGTCTCTGCCCTCTCGTTACTTCTTATTTTCACTCCAGCTTCTCATTCCTGCATTTTTTCCTCTCATTTGTAAAAAAAAAAAACTCAAACTCCATCGCTGGCTCTTCAACCCACAACATTGTTTCACACATTCTTACAAACATCATTCATCTTTTCTCCCCTTTATCATTCTGTCCCTTTGTCCACCATTCAGGTTTTCATCTTTGTTGTGCTTTCTCCACCTTTCTCTCCTCCCTTCCTTTGTCTTTGTCAGAATCAGTCCGCTGCAGCTTTTTCTCTCTCTATTACTTCTCTTATCCTCCCATGTCATGTTCTCTCTTTGTCTGTGCCCTGCCATGTGTCTGTGGTCAGGGCACTAAACCAGTTAGAGCGCCCCGCCCTGCCCGGCCCTGAGTAAACATCAGCACTACACCCGGATCTCTGCTACCTCAGATTCTGATGCTAGTTCACCGCTGGGCTCGGGCGATTAAACGATTAGTCGATCGACAGAAAGTTGCTTCTATCTTGATACGATGAACTGGTTGAGTCATTTTACGATGCCAAAATACCTAAAATGCGATGGACCCATCTTCTCTAATGTGAGGATTGTCTTCTTCTTCACCAGAGTCAGTCCATCCTGCATTACTCTCTTATTCCCCAAAATAATTTCACTTGTATGAACACTCCTTGTTGTTTCCCTGTTTGTTTGTCAGAAGGATTACACAAAAAAACCATAAGTGGATTTCCCCCCAAAAATTAATTAGATTTAAAAAAGACTCAAAGCTTTTGAGTTGTTGCAGATCTAAATAAAAAGCTGGATCTATAAGGGGACGGTTGGGCCTTGGTGTATGAATGGCTGTACTTTGTGCCATTCTACTTCATGAGGATTACAGGGGCAGCATGTTGATGTTCAGGAGACAGTTTCACCCTCAAGTGTTGCTTCCACGTCACTTCCTGTGGGCCGGGCTCTGACAATACTTGACACGAGCCAGATGTGATGTGCTCCTCTGCTGCTGTTCTTTATGGTGAACGTTGGCGAGGGTTTGTTCATTTTCCACTGGAATCATTGGAAGCGAAGCTGTAACGTCACACATGAGCATTCATAGGCTGAATGAACAGCTGCTTCTGCACATGATCCACACAGGACCTGAAGCAGGTTTCCTTCTATCTGTTTATGGCAATATTCCCTTCTTTTTGAGATGTGCCCATTCATGGCTCAGTCACACCTCAGGGACGGGAGGAGTTGTGTGCTGCGCCACATTAACTAAAGCAAAACATGGTTTATCGTGATCTTTGGAGAATTTAAATTCTTTTTGAATTGTAGGTTAAGTGGGTCGGAGGATTATCTAGAAACAAACAGGGTATGGTTATGGAAGAATGTGTGGTGTGTTTCTACAGCACTGGGAATCTTTGTCAATGAAAGCAAAGCAGGAGGATCAGCTCAGTGCTGTGGTGTCCTCTGCTTGGATAAGGTGGGGGGGTCGGTGTGTTCAGGAGTGTAAAAGTGCTGCGCTAGGCTGCACTCAGAGGCCATTTAAAGTGGACGGGAGGATTTGAGGGAATTAAAGTGCAAACTGCTCCCGTCTCTACACTCTGAGCTAAAGCCTCTTGACGTGCTGGGAAGAAAGAAATGTGACTGTAACCGTGCGAAAAGGAAAGAAAGTATTCAGCTGCAGTTACAGATACCAGCTGTTGACGGATCGGAAGATATGTGACCGTTGATTCTCTTTGTTTTGTGCCAATAATGGGGCCTTTACCAAGGTTTCACTTTTCTCTGTGCAATTTGTTGCAAATCCAAATTTAGATTCAGTGAAATTAAATGTGGTTTCATGCGGGGGGGGGGCTGTTGGAGGAAAGCACTTTACTGAGTGTCATTGTAGCATGGAGGAATATGTCACTATCCTTCTAATCCCTGCTATTCAAATTTGCTCATGAAAATCAAGTAGCTGAATCTGTGGTCAGTGAGCATCTCGGCTGCCTGTAATATCACCCATCAAGTGATGTACGCAAATTCTACCACGACCCGTACTGAAAATCTTGCAGGGTGCAAGTTTGAATATAATGCACATAATGAGCCTAGTGACTGGTTGGATAAAAAAGAAGAGATGAAACCACAGCAGAGCGAGAGCAGCTAATATAACTGTTACCACTGCTCCGGTGTAGCACAGTGGAAACTTTAACTTAATTTTTTTATGCTGAGACTCCTCATTTACTTTGTTCCATCACTCAGTGGGGGAAGATAAAGTCAAAGAATAAGATGCTGACATTTAATATAGCGATGTTGAGCACCTGAGCTGCCCCTGCTCCCTTTTCAGAGAATGTGTACGCTTCTGCTGTCACAGTGACTTCCTGTCTCTATCTGCCGCCAACAAGCAACCACAGCTTCCCTTTTCTGCTGCCGCTCTTTAAGCAGCATGACTTAGTTACTGCTCTGCTGTAGTCCTGCCGAACATATCGTAAGAATATAACTCAAACCCTCACCAGGTTAGTTCTTCTATAAGACTTAACATGTTAATCCGTCACAGGAGGACGCAGGATATACTGTAAAGTTATGAGACTGGATCCCAGAGAGGAATCTCTTTCCTACAGAAGTGGTTGTTCATAGAATAGATATTGTCCTCTTTTTAAAATGTGTCCCGTAACTCTTGATGTGTTGTATACGTGAAGAAAATCTGAGCTAGATCAACGGATCGTAAATGTCGTCTTTGTCGTCAGCTACCCGCCCGGCATGCTTGTTGTTTGAGTGCTTGTAGTCGTTTTTGTGTTCTTGCCTGAATGGAGATAATTTGCAAAACGAAGGTTGTGTGGATGGAGATATATTTTTAAATTGTTGGCATGACCATGGAGTCAGATGAGTCGATACTTGTGCAACTTGTTTACAGCAGTCTTGAAGCAGTAATGAACGTGGATTAGACCTGTTTACCGTAATTCCCAGCAGCCTTTCTAAACTTTAGTTTCACAGATATTTTGGAAACACTGACACTGTGATAAATCTCCCTGTTACTTATTACAAAAGTAAATGATGGCTCCATGGATTTTCACGGAACAAACAGAGATAAACGTGAAACATTAACACAAGTAGTTAAACTCCTGAGCTGTGGTTTATGCAAATGATCCGCGCCATAAGAACACGCCAGTGACCAATCAGATCGCTCAGATTAAGACGCCCCGTTACGTAACCTTTGTGATGGCAGCGTGTCTGAAAGTTAAACTGGTCACTTTCTCACAAACGCCACCGGGAAACAAAGAATGAGGCTGTTGTCACTGCTCTCGTCTTCTACATCACCGTCTGTTTAACGGTGACGTTATCTCCACGTTATTCTTATGCTGGCTCAGTTAACGCACGCTGTTTGTAATCTGCTGTGATGTGTTGCATGTGTCTCTGAATGTGTCGTAGCACGCTAACAGCAGCTCCGTTTGTTCTTTAAGCTTCAGATGCTTCTTAGATGTTTTTTTAATTTATGCTCTGTGGGTCTCAGTGAGTGTTCGAGCAGCAGGACGGCTCCTGTAGATTAGTCTGGATTACAGGCGGCTGAGATTAACCAAGAGAGCATCTGTCAGATACTTAAACTGTTAGTGTAACTAATATCTCCTTTTAACTGGCACCACTTTGAACTGCTGCTAATGCTGCCACTGCTTAAACTCATGTATGACGACTGTTATTAAACTGCTATTAAAAAGTTCTGCTACTTCTAATGACCTTTCACCCTGTTTTTATAGCATCAAATATTTGATTTACACCAAATCTAGGAGACACAAGACATCAGTGTGATAACAACAACTACCTAAAGTGACAGAAACCTTTAATTTGGATGTTTTAGTTTTGGTCCTATTATCTTATTGTTTTTCTCTCTGTGTCTTTCTGTCCTTCAGTCATGTCTCGAAGGAGTTCTCGCCTTTTGTCCGGTGGCTACTACAACTCAGACGAAGAGTCTGACTCAAGCAGCGTGACGAATATAACCTACCGGGAAAACCCTGTCAAGTATGTAACTCTGTGTGTGTGTGTGTTTAAGTGCAAACTGTAATGTTAAGGTTAACTTGAATAAGTTTGTGTGTGTGTGTGTGTTTTGTTTACCAAGGGTTTTCAAGAAGAAAGCAGGGACCCGCAAGGCCGGCTCCCGAACCTCCAGCAGAGCCAATAGCAATGCTAGCTCACCCAGCCTCGAGTCGCCCGTCCCTGCAGACCAGCGTGATGGTAAAAACTAAATAACAACTTCCCCTTTGTTTCAGAGTAATAATGAGATCATTTCCTGTCAAAGCTAAAATAAATAATGATGATAGCATGAATGAAACATGGTTGGGGACAAACAGGGGCAGTTCAGAAAAAGTCTGTCTAAAAAAACTAATCTGTCTACTTGCCACCATTAATCTCCCAATTTCAAAGTCATTGTAAATTGGACCTGTTGAAAGTTTATTAATTTTAATAAGTTTTGGATTAATTGCATTTCCAAATAGCACCGATTTGACACTGCACTTCTTTAGTACCCATCACAACTACACTTCTCGAGATACTATTAGAGCTTCAGACAGTTCATTACTTTTCTCTCCTCGTCCTCGTCTCTCAGGCCTGAGTCCTTCTCCCTCGAGCAGCCAGCCCAAGGCAATCATGAGGACAGAGCCCTTTGTCTTCACCACAGCCACCCCTCGGCCTGCCTTGACCCCGTCATCATCCGGGAGTCAGACCCCCACACGCTGCCCCTCGGTGCCTCCAGAGAGAAGCCTGTACGCTGGACACTACAGCTCCACTAGGCCGGGATTACACCTGAGGCCCAACCACAAGGAGCCGACTCAGAGCGGAGTGGACAGCTCCGGCTACTCGTCCTCCGAGGGGATCTACAAGAGGCCCTTCATTGCCCCCAGCAGCTCTGATAGCACGAGCGGGGCTCCCGGCTCTGGATACAGGAGCAGAATCAGCAGTGCCTTCTTCAGTCTGATGGGTGAGTACAAACATTCAATGATGGGTTTTAATGTGTCCGGCCTCACGATTTAATAATCTCATTGTCTAGTTTCTTTTTCCGCAGACTCGGCCTCATTGATGGCTGAAGCAGCTCGATCCAAAGTAACGCACCTGACAGCTTTAGGTACGTTGTCGGTAGAAGTTTGTCTTTGTGTTTACTCGGTGTGTACATTGTTTTACCGGCATTCTTAAGTGCGACTTGTGCTGCATGTGTTCACGCTGCCACGTGTCTGCATACGTACAGCTGTCTCATTGTGTTTTCACGATCATTGCACAAGTCTCAACTCCAGATTATTAAAATCCCTGTAATTCTACATTTTTTCTCGTCCCCACAGCAAACGCTTCCTTCACCAGTCACATGAAGAAAGCTTGTGGCCTGTTTCTCCTCCTCCTCCTCCTGCTCCTGTGTAAGTGACATTTTATAAGGTTTTTATAAGTTTTACATTTAGGAGACAACTCGTCGTCCCCTCGGACATGTTGAGTTTTAAGTTATACTTAATACTAATTAAGACAAACAAACCAGCGGACCCCCTGTTCTACTTTCTAACATATGTTTTTGTTATTCATTGAATTCACTGACCTTGTTAGATTCTTGCAAGAATCCTTACATTTTGATGATTGGTTTCTACCTCTATTTATATTTTTGTACATTTTGTTAAAAAAAAAAAAAAAAAAGTGGGATAATGAAATTCCAAACAATAACTACTTAACTGAGATTAGTAGTAGTACCAGGAAGTCGGTCTGCATAGGTGGCATGGCGTGTTTTGACTCACACAGTTTTCCTCTGCTCCCCCACCTCAGTGTGATCGAATGAGTCACTTCAGGTTTCATAAGTGTTTCGATCTTAGACGGGTGATGTCACCAGATGATGTTTACTCCTCGCAGACTGTATCTTTGTTTCTCTGGACTGTTCTTATGACTCCTGTTTTCTCCAGGTTTGTGGTTCCTCTTCCCCTTGTTGACCTCTTTCATCTCCTACATGAGCGTCGCAAAGACCCCGTCACAGACTAAACCCGAGAGTCGACCTGTCATCTCCGCCACTCCTCCTCCCTCTCCTCCTCCTCCTCCTCCTCAACAACCCAACACCATGCACCATGCATCTGTGGTGGTAGGACTCACCTGCATGTCACTCATTTTGTGTTTCTGTCTGTAATTTCATTTTAGCCTCCAAGAATTGGAAGTGTGTGTGTGTGTGTGTGTGTGTGTGTGTGTGTGTGTGTGTGTGTGTGTGTTACTGTGGATCTTCCCAAACCAACTTAAAGCATTTCTATTAATAGTGTGTAAGGGCCACTCACGGTATCGTAGATTATCAAATCAGTCAGGTTTGCAGCGTCGGCCTTTAACTCTGCAGAGACCAGCGACTCCAGGGAACGTCCAGAGAGAGATGAACAAGCCACTGGATGATTTCCTCCAGAGACTCGGACTCCAGAGACGAGTCATCTGCTTCCGAGTAGCGACAACACGTGGACTTTACAATCGAGCTGACGATCCTCTCGCACTCTGAAGCATATTAGTAACTGTGCGGATGTTGGTTCAGAATACGAGGGGCTGTGGTTCCGGGGTTGTGATTGGATTATTGATTGTGGGTGTGTCTGTGGAAGACTCAAGCAGGTCCGACAATCTCCTCCAGTGGAACTACACAAGAAAAACATTTGAATGAAGAAAAAACAGAATATGAGACAAACATAAGTGTAAAGAATATAGAGTTCCTTATGACAAATACCATCTGGGATGTGAATGTTGGGTGTTTCTGTTCCTCCAGGATCCAGCTGTTGTTGCTGCCGCTGTAGAAGCGAAGATGCAGCATCTTTTGGTAAGAAGCAGATCATCATCAACTTTTCCAATTTTACCAAAACGTTTTTTTTTTGTAAACCAGCTTGAAAGTACGAACACAGGTCAAAGAATTCTGGAGGCTGCAAAATAAAGTATTTTCACTTTGATAAATAAGTCGTGGCCTTTACTGTTGATCTGTGAGGAACTGTGATCTGAAGCTGGACACGAGTCTGTGACCAGCAGAGAACAGAGTGAGAGGCTTGAATCAAATTGCTTATACTTTTCTCAGTGAGCTATTGGCTCAGTCTTTGTTTTACCTCTTTCCTCGACCAACAGAGACTCAACCGACATCTATTTGTATAAAAAGCCTCAAGATTTCCACTATAATTTAACAAAAAGGGTCAAATTCTGATACTAAACCTAATTTTGCGTGTGTGTTTGTTTGCAGGCAGAGTTGCTGCTGAAGCAGGAGAAGCTTTTCTCCCAGGTGAGAGAATCTGTCTGTTGCTCTGTGGGTGGTGTGATGGTCTTTACCTGGTGAGGTCAAGGTGGAGGGGATTAGCGTTAAAATGAAATCCAGTGACATCCGGTGGTGATGACGGAGAACACGCTGATTTTAGCATGATGACGAGAAGAACCAGTAACATTTTGGGTCCACATCTGTCTCTCTCAGATGAAGGAGCGGGTGAATCTGGACATGCAGGGCATTAAAGCCAGTCTTGGCGCCGTGGACTCGGACACTCGGCTGCGTCTGAGGCAGGAGGTCGCCGGCCTGGACAGGAAGATGGTGGAATATCAGACGGACAGTCAAACTGCTGCCGCCGGCCTCAGCCTCAGGATCCAAGCTGTGGAGGCTGAGAATGCCAAGGTAACAGTGCCGCTCGAGATGTCCGCAGAAATCCAACCTGCTGACACGTTTATTTGAGATCGTGAGACTAAAACGTGACCGCCTCTCTCTTGCAGCTCTCCCAGGAGTTGTCATCCATCCAACTGATGCCTCCCCCAGCCCCGTGTCCTGAAACCCACACTGCCCCCGTCCGCGACCATCTGACCCCAGAGCTCCAACAGGCCATGGAGAAGTGGCTCACCGACCGCATCAAGGTACGTGGAGAGACACTCGAGATCTAGATCTGGACTCTGAGACTACTGACGGGCTCTAGATGTTTACGATGTCCCGTGTGTGACTGTGTGTCAGGAGCAGGACGTCCTCAGGCTTGGTGACAAAGGAAGCGGTTCTGACTTTGGAGGTCCCGTGGCTGATAAAATGGCCGACTTTGCCCTGGAAACTCAAGGTCGGGAACATCTCCATGTCACCGTCACTTTACTCAACCATACGTCTTTACAGATTAGTCAGCATTCATACTAATTACCTGTGTGTGTGTGTGTAGGTGCCAGTGTGATCAGTACCAGGTGTTCGGAGACGTATCGTATTCGCTCAGCGTGTGTGACGCTGTTTGGTTTCCCCCTGTGGTATCCATCAGAAAGCCCACGCACTGTTATCCAGGTAAAAATGAAACAACACCTCTGTTTTCTTCTCTGGGGTCGTTCACATTTGAACTTTTATTGCGTCCGTCCGTCCTCTGCTATTCAGTCTCCTCTGTCTTCTTCCTTTCAAAGCTTTGAAACCAGGTGAAGATTTACCAGTTTCATTTTTCCTCCCTCTCTCCCTCCCTCCGCAGGGTTACCCTGTGATGCTCCCAGGGAAATGTTGGGCGTTTCACGGTGTCCAGGGAATTCTTGTCATCTCTCTGTCTCACCCTGTGAGGATCACTCATGTGACACTGGACCACCTCCCGCGCTACAACTCCCCCACCGGCCGCATCGACTCCGCACCCAAAGACTTTGAAGTCTACGTGAGTTCTCTCGACACTGTTTGGTGTCATTCGTTATAAACGAGGCCCTGTGATTAAAACCTTAGTGGGGAAAAAAAGTGAGTCACAAAAAGTGGCTTCGCAATCCTGACGCCTGTAACTTCTCTCGCAGGGAATGACAAACGACACAGAGGAAGGAACTCTGTTGGGGACCTTCACCTACGATGAGAACGGAGAGTCGACGCAGACGTTTCAGCTGCCGGTGAGTTCAAACCATCAAATCTTATGTTTTCACACCTGAAAGTCTGAACCTGGTCGGACTAACGTTCAGAGGAACCTTTCACATTGGATCTGTTGGATCAAACGTAAGTGAAAAGTTCGGACCAGACAAGGCCGATGTGAAAGGACCGCAAATGGACAAAGACCATATTTACAAAGAGTCAAATTATGACCTTACGACTTCCTGTTCTATATATTAGACCGGAACATGATGTTCACACTTAACTTATCTTTCCTCCTCCTCTCTCTCTCTCTCCCTCTCTCCATTCTCCTCTTTTCTCCGGCACCAGAACCCCAGTGAGGAGCTTTACAGATGTGTGGAGCTGCGTGTCCTCAGTAACTGGGGTCACGTGGAATATACGTGTCTGTACCGCTTCCGTGTGCACGGAAAGATGGCCTCCACGTGAGATCCACTGACTGCAACACCTTGTCTCACTAAGACATATCAGGAGGGACATTTGAAATGTCGTTTTTATTTTTTAAAGAAAAGCAATCCATGCTAATGCTACTGAAACGTGTTTGATGTTGATGAATGGCAGGTTTGCTGTGGTTTGAAACTGCTTAATGTTGTAGTGGACAAATCACAGGAGGTTTTTTTTTTTTATGCAAAAGCTGAAGTGCACACTTGGCTTTGAGTAAATGTACATTACCACGTGTTAATTATATTTCTTAAAACCAAAAATCTACCTAGTATAACCGTGTGGGAGCTTTATGCTGTCAGACATATGAGCGTGCCACAAAATCTATTTTTTTAACTCTTGCTGTTATTAATAAGTATTTACTTTTGATCGGATATTTCCTGCTTTACAATCCCACCGGAGATAAAACGCAGTAAAACACATTTTTTAACAAGGTACAGTGGAGCAGCTGAATGTTTGACATTATTATTATTTTCTTTTTTGATTAATCTGCCTTTTTAACATTAAATCTTCAGGATATAAAAATGGCAAAAATAGTGAAAGTGCAATTAAAAATTTTCCCACATCCCTTAGTGTCGCTTCAGATATCTACTATGTTGGACCAACAGTCTGAAATGCAAAGTTATTCAGTTAAAAATAGTATTGAGTACATTTTGAGTGGATAGCTATGGATGTGCTTTGTTTATCAACTCATTATTGAATCAGTGCAGGTCTAAGGTCAAAACTTAAGATTTAGTTTGTAAAGTTTTCAGTCAAGCGTGTAAATCGAGTCCTGTAAACACAAGGCAGCACTGAATGTCTGTTCATCAGCATCGTTTGTTCTTTGTAAGTTAAATTGAATCTAATATTATATACGAAAGGTAAAATATGCAGCCATTCATTCACTTTCAACTTTTTTTTTTGGTGAGTTTCAGCTCAGTAATTTATTGCTGGTACTTGAATACTTGAAAACCTCTTTTTCTAAACTTGCGGAGTCATGTTGACTCTGTGATGTCAGCGTTTCTGCTTCCTTGTACGTGAAACTTTTAGTTTTGAATGAGCGACGCAACCAGGAGAGAAAGATGTTATTTATTTGTAAGATGAAAATATTCATGTCTGAATTCATGTTGGGGTTTTTTTTTTTTGTCGGATCGACTTGACGTGTGTATAATCGTTAAAGTTTACACGTTGGAAATTGTTTATGTCACCATGAATTATGACTTTGGAGAACTTTTGATCAACTGAATTGAATGTTGATTGGCTGTTGAGATGAAAATCATATCGGATGTGTTTTGTTTAGCTCATAATGTCTCCTCCTACATTAATTTTCATATATTTGAAGCTGTTGAACAGCCTCTACAGTCACGATGCTGTGTCTGTTACCTGAAGACAAAATGCAAACTGTGTGATTGTGTGTTTAAAGCCAAATGAAACAACATAGAGAAGAAAGATAATGTTCATCAGAGTCAATTAGCTTCATCTTTTTTTAAATATAAACACAGCTGATGTTCACAGAAAGTAGCTTCAATGACACATTTAGACGTTCATTGCTAACAATTGTTTTCTCTCTTTAAATTGAACAATATCATTTAGCAGATACTGCCTGACGTGTTCTCTTTGTCCTGTTTGTAACACAAACTGAGATGTTTTTATGATTTATTAAATAAAAACATTGAAGTATATGTAGTTTGTTATTGCATTTATTGTTTTAAAAGTTATATTTTCCAATGCTGAACATGCTCATTACAGAAACAGATTCACAAACACAAAGACAATGTAGTAGCGTATAATTTAAGCACATTTTTAAATAACTAATGTTTTTGTGGACGAACAACCAATGTTGAGTAGCTTCCCTCACCTCACATCCTGTTTCCCAAATTTAAGAATCAAAGATACAAATTTAGTAATTTTATGTTTGTAAGTATTTACACACATGCAGAAACTAACCGTACTTACTTTAACCTTTGAATAATCTCACATCTCTAATCTCTAACTAGAACGGCACTCAGAAGATCTCGTACCTCCACCAAAGCCGAACAATAGGAAACATAACTGTCAAGTCATAGGTTCTCTCTTGAATCAGGCCCCTCCCATCTACATAGATATTACGTTATCTTGCTAACTAACAAACAAACACTGATGAAAACGCTACAAACCTCTGCTAAGAGTAATGCCCTATTTTTCCATGACAACGCAGCGTTTCCCAATAATTATCTCGACTCTGGCAGCGGACTGTTTTCTAATTTGTTAGATTCATAATTAACGAAACATTATTTTCCTCCCCCTTAAAATAACATAAGACATCTCTAACTTGTTGTTTTGCTCTGTTGCTGCATTGAGTAGCTGTGTAAGATGCTATATTCCGCATTATTTGCCCTGTGTTTTCTCGAATAAAGTTTTTACCATCCACGCAGACAGTCAGACCTAATGGTTTTCAGGTGGCATAAAACCTTTGCGCACCACAGCGACCGCCATGGATTGAATTAATTCTGTGGGAAATGCTGCAAAGAAATAGGAAACTTCTGGATCCGCTCCATCACGAAGGTCAGTCTCTAAACCGTGGCAACAGTTTTTGTCTCAGCAGCAGAGCTGCGGTGACATGGGATCGGCAGCTGCTTGGTGCGCTGGAGATAACAAAGAGGCTGAGCGACACTGCTCAAAGAAAGAACCGTGAAGGTCAAACTGGCGAGGGCTGAGAAGGGACCTAAAAGAAACACCCTCAGCAGGTATTCCAAGAAGGAAGGGGAGTAGTGGACGATGATCAGCACAAAGGAAGTGAGCACTATTTTGAATGCACGCTTTTTCACTGGGTGCAGCTCCTTCCTGCTGGGGCCTGTTTGGCGGAGGGATCTGAGAATCAGCACGTTGCAGGTCGAGGTGATCGCGATGGCACAACACAGGAGCCAGGACATCACCTTCCACCTGTACACTTTGGAGAATTTCATCAGCCAGCAAGAGAAAGCCGTGACGACATTCACCACAAAGCACAGCGACAGCCTCAGCCTGGGATCCTTGAGGCGGAGGAAGACCAGCGGATGGCAGACTGCGACGTAGTTGTCCAAACTCAACAGGGAGAGCAGGATCGGCCTTCCCGCCTGATTCAAACTCCAAGCTATGAAGTGGGCCGTCTCCAGGGATCGAACCAACACAAACCAGATGAACTCAATGGGAATCATTACGCCGAAGAAAAAGTCTAATACCGCAAGATGGAGTGTGAAGATCTCCGAGGAGCAGCAGATGCCAGGTTTGATCAGAAGGAGGCGTATGACCAGAGCGTTGGCCGGCATTGCAAGTGGAGGCACGATGACCGTCGTGGGAAGGAAGCAGTAGAAGATCTTATCGTACCGAATTGATGAGGTGTTGTTGCTCATGGTTTCATTACCGGGGACGTTTCCCATACTTGAGGTTGAGATGAATTTCTCAGTTGAATATCTGCAAAATAAAAAAAATATGGGAGTGTTAACGTCACGTGTGTTAAACATTCTAAAGGTTCCATGATGTGACGAATCTCAGCTTCCTATCCTTTTTTTGGCAAAAGGATATTTTGGCACAAAAACGAAGCCAAAATATCTTGGATACAGGAGCTTGTGCTGTACCGTTCTCAGCTGTCCATCATTTCACCCGTGTTATAGCATCAATAGCTAATTTAAACCAAACATATCTAGAAGCTAAAATGACGAAGCCATCTTTGAGAAAAAAAAATTCTAATTAATACTTTAGTTTCGTCCATGTCCCACATGCTAACATGGAGGAGACAAGGTTTAGCGGTGAGAATGTTTTTTGGCTTCACCTTTAAGGAGCTGACATGTTGTAAAGCTTTAAATATCAACACTACACAAGGAATTCCATCAGTTGCACTGACAAACCCACAGAGCGGAACGTTGCAGAAGATCTAAGTGAAAGCAAACAACTTTATCTGCTCGATGCACAAACAAGGAAATGTTCAGACTTCAGCCAGAGGAGCTTTTCAAGAGGAGCTGTTTTCAACATGTTCTGCAGTTGTTGTTGTTGTTGTGTAGACCTCCGCCAAAACCCAACAGTCCCCTAATGAATCCACACTCTTAAACAAATGTCTTTCATCAGGATCCATGAATTATTCCCTGAGGAAACATGAAACAGAAATGTTTTGCTCTCCCCTGATCCATCCACCGGGTTTCCTGGTTATCATCTGGAGTTTTCTTGTGTAATCTTGTTAACAGACAAACGGACGGGTGAAAACGTGACCTCCTCGGCCGAGGTAACGAGAGATCGATACAGAAAGTCTTTTCAGAAACTATTCCGTAGATTTTGTCTTCATGTTGTTTTGAAGAATTGAATCTATTTTTATATTTTCTCCGACAGATTCAAAGCTTCTGACCAGTTTCTTCCATCGTTACATCATCACAGGTTTATTTTTCTTGTGCCAGGTGTTGTACACATGATGCAAATTCACATTCAAATCATTATTGTTATTATAGCTCTGAGTTTATTCTGTGTGGTGATGTTATACATTGTTTTTTTTAAATCTTTGAGTTTCTGAGACAGCCGGTCGCTCGATAGATTTACATTACATGATGGCGTGTGAGGCGTCCGGTGGAACCACAGTCTGTGTTGACTTTGACTCTGTGTCTCTGCTGGAGCAGCTCCGGACTCTTGGAATTCAGTAAAGTGTCGTGGCAACAAACTCACTTCTCTAACTTTTCCATTTGTTTCCTGTAATTTATCTTTCAGACGCCTGCAGGGAAAATCACTTAAATTTACATTGCAATGAAATAAAAACTAGTGTGAGTCCCCGAGCTGTTACATGGGGGCGGTCATAGTAAGAGAGTATATCAACTTATTACGAACACTCATTCTGGGCGTATAAACATTTTTGAAAGAACCAAAACTTTTAACAGAAACCCATTTTCTTGCTCAAACTTCTTGTAGCTCCCAATGATCAAAAACTCTGCACATCTTTTATCTTTTAGACTGAATCATTGTAACTAATGTATTTTTTGCATTTATTTAGAAAAATAAAACAAGTGAAAGGCAAAAGCCAGATAAGCATGATGCAACAAAGGGAAATACGAAGAGGCCAACTTTTGAATAATATAAGTACTTAAATTATTTTCTTTCACAATTAAAGTGACACAATTTCTTTTGCTAAAGTCACTGCTGTATAATTAATAAATAATATATAATAATCATAAATAACTGATGCACAGTTCTGCCCTTTTTTTAATAACTATTTGTAGGTTATCATCCAGATGTGATCACAGATATCTGGTAAATGTTTTTTAAGATACAGTCATGTACTCTACACATTTTAAAGTATTCATATGCTCACACTGTATCTGTTCTATTCTCTTTAATTATCTTGCATTTATATTGGATGTTTGTTTATTTATTACTTTTACTGATGCTATTTTTTTTTATTGTCCTCTTTGCCGCTGCAACACAGCAAATTTCCCTTTTGTGGGACTAATGAAGGATTTACTTATATCTTAGATTATCTTAAATGTAAGTTTTATGAACCTGTGCATTTACAACACTTAAGGTTCAAGTAAATAAAAACAGCTTCCGTCATAGCAACATTCACAATCGCTTTACCTGAGAGAGGAGATCAGTTCAGACGGCCGCAGACAAACAGCTGACACACACTTGTGGATGTAAATATAAAGCTGGGTGTGTTTTTATACCCGGTGCGTAAAGACAGCATCATCTGTTTATTGTGACACCACCTCATTTTACTTATTCCTGGACATGAGCTGCATCCTCACATCCTGTCCATTATTTTAACATCATGGTCAGTTTCCTTTTTATTCATTTGCCTGCTACATTCTGCTTAAAGCTGGATATTCACTTTTTTACTTTTCATAACTGGCAACATGACCTGACATATCTTTATATCATTTACTTCTATTTACCTTTTCTTCTCCTTTGACTTTTCTTATTGAATATCTGAGTCAACTAGACGTCATTCTATAGTTTTGAGGTGTTTGCACAAACAAAATGCTGAAATTAAATGTTGGTTACAATGGTTACAATAGACTAGTTATGGTTACGCTCTGAGAACACTGGATCCTACGTTTCCTTTTCCTGTTCTAACAGTCTGACCAGGAATCATATGACCAGGAAAGTGCGGATGTGTAAAATGTGTTGGCATAAAAGTGAGACACAAACGACACCATGTGTGAACGCGGGTGTTTGTCTCGACTTTGCGAGCTTGTGTGCCTTCAGGGTTTTTCTTTCTGAAGCCTTGAACCCAGTCAGGGCGAGTTAGTAACACCTTGCATTAGATTTCTCATGAACAGTCTGCTTACCTTGCATCACCTGTTTACTGAACAGTTGCATCAGTGGGACGAACGCTCGGCTGCAGGGCTGCTGTACATAGAGCACCCATAGGATCAGACCTGGGACCAGCTTACTGTTTTACACCCTGGCATTAACCGTGAATAAGAAAAACGCAGATTCTCAGAATACTACTCTGTCCGTACGACACATTCTTTCATTTACTAAGACTAAGGCAATAAAGTCATTAACATTTCCCCACGGGGCGTCTTTAACTTCTACATGCCAACCAAACCGTCCAATCACTGAAGACGGCTTAGCAGCTCTATTTTGCATAACTGTCCAATCATAGTTCAGCTTCAGACACAATATTGATACCTGTTATTCATCAGAGTGGTCCGATCCAAAAGTGGCACCGGTCCCAGTGGATGGTCTTTAAAAAGCCACTGGCCCTGTTGATGTGGTGCCACATGAAGAAGCTCTCCTCATGGTGAAGCTCAGTCGGACTGTGGACTCCGTGAACCCTGTTGAGGTAAGAAGACGAAATGACCTTTCTGACAGTAATGCTCAGAAACATTATCCCAACTTCTTTCTTTTCATTCCAGCCTATTCTACCTGCATCAGCCAACGATGTTCAACTCCACGCTGAGTCCCACCGGCAACGTCAACTCCACCACCCCGGGCGGCCCCCCTGGACCTCCGCCATGGTACCAGTTCCCGCTGTGTGCAGTGGCCCCTTACGGCTACGTGTTCTACTTCATGGTCAAGGTGTTGAACCTGTGCGTGGGGGCCCCCTGTAACATCCTGGTCATCTGGCAGATCGCCTCTAAGAAGAGCGACGCCTCCACCTCGGACACCTTCATCTTCAACCTGGCCGTCCTGGACGCCTTCTTCTGCCTGATGACACCCATAGATATGGTGAACCGCCTGCTGCTGGGGGACAGCAATATCTGGTTCTTTCAGAGATTCACTTACGGGGTCAAAGACATAGCCCCGCTCTTTTTGGTGAGTTGTTGTTTCCAATATTTCAGATAAGTGTCTTGTGAATTTGATCAAATAGCATCATATCTTCTTTATTCTTATAATTATTCTTTTGTTAAATAGAAATCTCATCAAGGTATTTTAGTAACTTGTGTCAAGGGAAATCATTTTAATCTTGATCATTTATCACTATTTTGTACTTGGATCACTTTATCTCCAGGTTTAAAGAATTGCCTCTGTCTGATTATTCTCATATTTATGCACTTTCTTTACTTCAGTGTTCATTTTAAATCTTCTGCACTCATTCAGATTTAAGTCCCTGAATCTGAAACAAGTAGAAATAGAATAAACAGCGCAGCGACATCACCCTCTTTCACTGTTCTGCTACCCCAGGTGTGTATTTGCCTCGACCGCTACATCGCAGTGGTCCACCCAGTTCTGTTCACTGGTATCCGTGACAACAAGATCCGCATTGGCATTTCTGTGGTCGTCTGGGGTTTCACGCTGGCTTATGGCGTCGCCAAAAGCCTCCTGGATGTCGTGAAGGCCAGCGGGATCTTCGGCGGCGTCATCCTCTTCGCCTTTGCAGTCATGGTCTTCTGCAATATCTCCATCATCTGGGTGCTCCGCCGCTCCGTGGCGGGGAAGGAGGTGATGCACCCAGTGAAGAAAAGGGCCCTTAAGACCGTGCTGATCATCCTGGTCATCATCGTGGTCAACTACTTGCCTCCTGTGGCGCTCATGCCCTTTGTAGCGTACTACTCGTTGTTGCAGTATCACTGCCAGATCAGCACCAGCGTGTTCGCCCTCATGGACCTGAGCAGCAGCCTCGAGCCTCTTCTCTACATCACCAAGATGGAACTTAAGGACATCAGGTGCTGCAGGCGGAGTCTGTCCGAGAATCCCCAAGATGTCAAGGTGTAGGAATCGATTCACCAATCACGAATAAATTAATAATCTGCCGGACAAAACCAAAAACAGTCACAACAACATCTGGTTCAAACTGACTTCGTTGTGTCAGTGTCACCGAACGTTACAGCAATTTATAGCAAACAGTCATAATACATACAAACATATAATATGATATAATACATATAACATATAATATTTAAACACATGAATTGTAAATGTATTTAATATGTTAATGAAAACATTTTAAACCTAGTTAAAGATGGATTCAACAACACATATTTGTTTCACATTCTGGCAGATTTTCCAGATTCTGAATGTTTTTAATCGAAGTTTAGTCTGTGACAATAGATTTTGTGGTAAAATAACGATTTGAAAATAAATCATTTTAAGGTTTTGTAAATCGTTTTGTCTGTGAAATTGTTTCCCTGCCTCCCTTAAAGCTTAACATTTTTCTTGAAAAGTTGATTTGGTTCCTCTCATCTCAATAATAAAAACTTCTCATTAACACGTACACATCTGTAATGACGGCCTGGAGCGGTGACTGGGGCACAGAGCACTGATTAAACAATTAGTCATTTATTAAGTCTCATCATGGGACAAACACACTGGGGGACCAATTAGCAGGAATGTAATGAGTGGCCAGGCACATGATGTCATTGGACCATATACTAAATACATAAAATACACAAATATGCATTGTATTTGTTCTGATTAAAAACTCTCGGTACACATTGTTTGAAAAGATTTGAAGTTTAGAATTATCTTTGGAATCTATATTTTGATTTTCACGCAGATACTTTAAAATTATTTTTTTTTAAATGTTTGTATTGATCAAATAAACGTATAAAGCATTTTCTGAAATAAAGATGAAATGAAGAAGGTTTAGTTTTCACTCGTGACGTGTGAGCACACGAGCGGGAATCATTTTAGACCTGAGTCAGTTTGGTGTGTATCTCCGTCAGACTCTCCAGGCCGGCTTCAGGTCCATCTTCTGAGCTCACATATCCAGGGTAGGTGGGGTAAAACTGGGGCGCTCCAGGTTTAGTGATGTCACTTCCTGCCCTTGATGATGAAGGTGGAAACAATGGTATCAACTTGGCATGTGCGTAGTCAATCTCAAAACCCTCGAAAATAAGCCCCACCCCAGAGGCACCCAGCCCCTCCTCGAGAAGGCGGGACACCTTCTTAGTCGCCAGCACCAATCCTTCATAATCAGGTTTTTCTAATCTGAATATGTCCGAGGTCAGAGGTCGGCGTGGGACCAGCACAGTGAGTCCGGGGGAATTGGGGAAAGGCGTGAGAAAGGCCACATGACCCTCGTCCTCCCACACACGCCACTGCTGCTCCTCCCCACGCACAATGCGAGAGAACAGCCCGGGGTGAGCCGGGTCGTCCCCGAGGAAAGTCAGGTTGGGAGCAGCGTTGGGAGACGGAAGTTTGGCTCGAATCTTGGTTTGGATTTCAGTCAGGCTTGAGTCGCTCCATCTGGGGGCTGTCTTGGACGTGCAGTACCCCGGGTCCTGGGCGTTGTGCTCCTCCTCTCCCGCCAGGTGAGGGCGCCACTGTGCATCCAGACCATGTAAGGGGAGGACACGAATCTGTGGAAATGAAAATAACATGAAAAATGAAAACATGAATGAGACAAACTGTCACATCCACTGTTTTAAACACCTGTGGGCTGCTGATTGTTGTTGTGCTGGAGGATTCCCTACTGCCTCATGTGTATAGTGTTCAGCAATATCACCATCTGGTGGACTGGAGTGGAACAGGATGTAGTTGCCATCGATGGGCTAAATTGCCTTATTTCCACTTGTCTGCAAGAACCTTTTATTTCACTTGTAAAACGTTTGAGGGACTAAAAGATTCAGGGTTTTCTCATCATGGCAGAAGTAAAACTCTTGAGTAATGATTGACTTCATAGCTTCAGAAATGCAGATACATTGGTGCTGGCAAAACAATATTGGCAAAAAAGGTAGCTTTAAAATATTATCATAAACCTTCAAAAGGTTTCACTGGCTGCACTCTCCAGCTCTCACCTGGGCAGGTCTGTCTCTGTGGGGTCTGCTGACGAGCGCACACCTACGAACCCCCAACCTCTCACACAGCAGCTCCGACACGGCTCTCGCCCCCAGCAGCCAGGACAAGTACTCAGGCTCCTGCAGGTGGAAGATGCTTCCTCCTGGGCTGCCAGGGTTCAAGCTCTCCAGGATACTGGAGCCTGGGGTCCAGGGCCGTGGGTTGAGGTAGGCCACCAGCCCCTCAGACTCCCAGAGGACATGACGAGAAAGAGCGGAGGACATTCTGTGGAGCCAGAGGAGTAGATCATTGTGGGAGACTGACGTGAGACAATAGACTGTTCTTTTCAAAACAGCACAAAACATTGTTTTACAGTCTGTTATTCATACATGAAAATAATAGGAAAAATTAAACATTATGGAAAAGGAGGCAAGTGAAATTGTTCAAATTAGATGGGACATTGTATTTTGTTTTAATTAAGCTATGTAGTGATGTCTCTGTATTTAGTGAAATTGACAGATTTTTCTTTATTTTATAGTTTTTTAGGCAAAAAGTTATAATTTAATTCAATTCAGGCAAGATGATTTTATATTTACATGAATATATTATTTTTTGATTATTTTCTTGATTCCAGTTCTATGTGTTTGGTTGTATTTGTATTTGTAAATCACTGATGAGCCTCGGTGTGTTTATTCTGGTGTATTTCAAACGTTCCCTCCTGAATACTGCAGATATTAGACACTTCTTTAAAATAACTTTAACTGATCTACAGTTCGGTGTAAACTCTTGATCTCACTGACTCTGATCAAAGCTGCAAACTGAAATCCACACCAACTTCAACAGAGAGAGGTTTGCGTTGAAATACGAGCAACTAAATAAATCACATGTGAGCCGTATTTCAGATCGGCCAGACACGACTCAGACAAAGTCAGAATAATGTTTAAACTCCATTGTTTTAACCATAAAAATGACGCTTGTACGTTAAAATTGCTGTTATTTAAAAGGAGTCTGACACGTGAGCTTGTGAGTTCCGGGTTATTTTATTCTTAAATTAACGTTTAGAATTAAAGTGAACTGAACTGACCTTCTGACAATGAAGCTTGAAAACAGCATAAAGTTACCTGGTGAAAACAAAAACTTTTCTTCTTCTCTCCACAAGTAAAAAGTCGCGTAATAAACACAAACAGAGATTTAAAAAAACAGTCACAGTTCTTCCGGTTGCGCACATTCGTCAGTGCTGACAGACAAACACTTTTAGAACTGTGAACTTCATGTTTCCTCTTTCCAGGAAAACGACACGTTTAAAAACAGAAACATAGAAACTCACACTTCCTCTTTACAGAGAACAGATTCTTCTTCTAGCGTTTGGTAAAACCGATTAAACAATCTTGACCCCCATCTACTGGACTGAGAGTGTAGCCCAGTGGCCACAGGGTCAAACTACTATAGACACAGAAATATAAAAATGTTTTAAAATATAAATAGATAAATATGCAATAGTAGAAATGTATAATTAAAAAAAATAAATGTGATAATAAATGTAGAAAGAAATGAATGAATCTGGAGACAAATGTGGAAATAAATGTTATAACAAATAGAAACACATAAATATATATCAATGTATTTATTTTCTCATTCATTTATGCATTACATTGGTTATTTCTGCATTTATTTATCCATTTACACTTATTTTATTTTTTTCTCCTTCATATCAGTAACCTACTGATTCCAGAAACCTCTGTCTTTATTGTGTTTACTGTACTTTATATATTCTTATTTAGCTTCATTTCACACATTGTATTATAACGCACATATGTTTTAAAACCTATTTTATTTTATAGTTTTACCTATGTTGTTTACTTCTATTAGATGTTATTGTCTTGGTCAGTACATATTTATATTCTTGGCTAAAACTATTGTAACAAAACTTTTCCCTGCAGGGATCAACGAACTGCGTCTGATTCTGAATCTGATGTTGACCTGATTCTCTGTCTGTCTGTCTGTCAGTCTGTCCGTCTGCCTGTCTGTGTCTGTCCGTCTGTCTGTCTGTCTGTCTGTCATGAGCCACTGTACAGGTCACTCCACACGCTCACAGTAAATCTTTGGTTGCAGTTTGAAGAAGTGACACCAGAGGAAGCCCCTGAGCTGCAGATTAAGCTGCCTACCTCACTGGCAGGAAACAAAACGTTTCTGAACAACTTGAACACAAAGGTCCAGCAAAAACATTTCACTCATAACTATTTGTCCAAATCAAATTCCATCTGTGCCAATTTATCAGATTTTCAGCAGAGGGGGAATTAATCTTACGCTCGGTTTGTGTTTTCACTTCCTCGTTCTGCAGCAGATCACATTTGTGAAAACGCTTTTCCTCTTTCTCCGCCCTTGTTTCCAGTTTCAATGCCATGAAATGACTTCACACACACACACACACACACACACACTCACACACACACACACACACACACACTTATAAAAGAAAGAGAGAAGAAATATTCACCTCTTATGTAACATAGTCAATGACACATTTCATGTTGACTGAAATACTGTGGCCCTCTTAAATTAAATAATCTACACTACATCACAAAAGAAGAACACAGTGAAGACCTTCTGTGGTTCACATGAGGTCTCACGTGAGAAGACAGTGAGGTGCGGAGGGAAAATGTGCCATTCCACTTTGTGGCAGTAAATCTGTCCTGCTAATCTGCAGCCTGTGACCTGGGTAATGAGCTCAGCTGCTCTGAGATCCTCTGATCTGAGAGGAGCAGCATCAGCTGAGCACCAGTGAGACGAGTCACTCAGACATGAGGGACAGAGACATGGAGAAACTCAGGAGAGGACACCAAACATGCCAAGATATCATTCCTCAGATGTCGTGGGTTCGGTCTCACACAGTTTTTATTCATATAATTATCTCTCTATTTGGTTTTTTAACACCAGACACAACAGGAAACACCGAGAGGAACTGAAGGAAACAAGACATATGAATATTTATACACATGTGTACACAACAAATTAAAATATATCAGAACAGAACAATTGGAAGGAGGATGGTTAAAGGATTATAAATGCAGATCAGACAGGTTTTATAATGCATTATCTAAATAGATGAAATTAGAAAAGAAATACTCATGTGCCTGTCAAGTGTATCTGTGAGTTCTGCTGCTCTGCATTTAATCTGATTTTAGAAGCAAGAAAAGTACATTTCCAAACACCACAGCTGCAGGAACAGAAGTGTTCGTTTCATTTCCTCACAGAAAACGAGAAGAAGGAGGTGATTGCAATATTTACTGACACAGGATGTGATGTAACAAACGTCTGAGGACATAACTCAGCCTGGATGTAGGAAGAAAGAACTGCCTGTGGGTTTTTTCATTCTTTAACCAGAGGTTCAAAGATTTAAAAAAAAAACTTTAACACAGAACTAGATTCTTTATTTGTCTTAAGTTGACTCATAAATGTTTGAACCACATGTGGTTTCAGGATGTAACAATAAATGGTAGGAACTGTGTCATAAAGTTTTCCTGTTTGCAGGTCTTCACTCCATGAAACACAGCAACACACACTTTTCTCTGTCCTTTAATTTTTCTTTTGTTCCCACCAATGATTCCCAAAGAGAAAACTAAAACTTGAAGTTATTATCTATAATAATCTGAGTTTAATTCAAAATTGAGTGAGCACCAACTTTTAAATATCGTTTGGTATTTTATTTGGGAATTTTTTTTCATTATTGGTTTGAGTCTTACAGTTGATTTTACTTAAATTAACTTCTATTGTATTTAATTCTATTGTACATGAGAATTATCTTCAAAGACAAAGTTAGAGTCTTTTTCTTTTTGGTCGATCATTGTTTGAAATATCTCCACCACCAGGTACAAATGTATTTACTGTAAACTGTGAAGTGTTTCCTCAAAACAACGTGTGGATGTGCAGGAAGATAAAACTCCTGCTTTTATTCAAATACTCACATCGTACATGTATTGTAAAACTGTCCTGCACTGCCCCATGTTTCTTAATGTCAACGCTATCACTAAAAGTAAACTTTAAAAAAGCAATCACAGTGGAAACCAAGCTCGGAATCAGCTGAGCTACTGTTTCATGGAAAAGTTCAGTCAACAAGCGCTTTAACCGTTTGCGCTCAGTCGAGGTTGTTTAGTCTGAACTTTCCATTCGAGGCCTGAGTTTCACGTTCTGACCTTCGATTGAAGAGTTTCAGTGAGAAGAGGTCAATGATTTTATTAACGCCAAAAAAAAGACCTATTTATTTTAACGCACACAAATTCTGAACCAAGTAATCAACGAAACAAATCTATCAACAATCAAATCACGTGACAGAACGTTACCAGTCACAACAATACATTTCATTTAAAACAGACAAAACAAATCTAATAACATTACTTCAGTCATTCTGCTTCAGTCATTCTGCTTCAGTCATTCTGCTGTGAGGCTACGAGATGCTTAAAGTTGTTGAATGCGGTTCATGACGATTTGTGAACTGGTCACTATTTATTTGCGTGAATGAGTTGGAAAAAGTAAAATAAAAATAATATGTGACTACATTCATGGCTCCTCCACCATTCACGTATACAAAATAATAAAAAAGTAAAAGTAGGTGGTAGTGGTTCAAACCGTCAGGTGTATGTAGATATCAGGCAGGAATAGACTTGCTAGCAGCGTGAGGTCACAATATCAGAATGTGTCAGATTGCTTGGCTCTCACTGACTCACAGTTGACTAACTATAGCCTCATGGCCTTACTAGGTTTCACCACCTTTGTGAGGCAGATGCCATTAAGTCTCGTGACATAATGTGAAATATAGTCGAGGTCTGTCTCAGCAGCTTAAAGCTTAAACGCTCCCAACATCACAGAGGCAGGGTGCGAGTCCGTTTGTAGCGCTGTCAGACCAGTTTTACTGGGTCGGCTTCAGGAAGCAGTCGAAACAGATGTGGACTTTTTTCAAAGAGCGTAAAGAAATTAGAGGAATGCTTGAGGCTAGACACTTGTGTGGTGTAGACGCAGCTTAAAACTTCTACAGGTGACTGCACCTTCACAGTTTTGTGATTTTACCGATAGATGAGATGTGATTCTGCTTTCAGTCCGATGAACACTAACCAGCATAAAGACTAGAACAATCTAGAGGGCAACAGCTAGTTAATGAAATTTTAAGTTCATTAACTATTATTGTCACACAACAATATTTTTGAGCTTTAGAGGTTTCTGTGTTTTCTATGTGGAGCTGAAGAAACAAGGTTTTGTGTATTTTGAAGGAATGTAGTTTAAAATTTGGGGGAAATGATCATTTGTGTGTCGGAGGCGTCACAGGTAATTTTATCTTTGGACAGAGTTAAGCTAGTTCCCCATGTTCCCCTGTGTCTAGCTTAGCTAACTGGCTAGTTTTAGCTTTATAATTAGCATACAGTATATGAGAATGTTAAACATTTACATATTTAACGATAATTACAACGCTTTAGATTTTGTATGAACAAAAATACTATAACAGTATAGATTCCGTACACTAAGCCTTTATAACTTACTGTATAAAAAGATGGACGACATGACGGCTCCTCTAAAGTGAAGCCAAACAATCTTGTTTGCCCCCTGCTGGCTGGCTGTAGTATGGCCCTGCCTTCTCCATGTTAGCAGATAGGACATGGGCCAAACTGAATGCTCAAAATACACAAGAAATAGTAGTTTCTTTATAATCTAAGCCAGTTTGATGTCTGTCTGCTAAGTTTGGTGTTAAACTTATTTTCATATTACAGAAACGGGGTAAAGCTTCACGACTGACAGCTGAGACTGTCTCACGATTGGTCGAACATGCAGGACTTTGATGCCCCC